TCAAAAATCCTTCAATTATAGTGTTATTTATTCATACTCTCGGGTTTGGTCTTTGATGTCGTTTATAGAAGTCTGCTAAAATATACATTGATAATTTTCTACTGGGACTTTTGATTCATCCTCCATGATTCTTCTTTCATCAATAGCAATATGTTTTTTTATACCAGGTACTGGATTTTTCCATTTCTGAGGAGGCATGTGCCCCACAGTGACTGAGAATGACTGGGCCACGTTTGAACTGAAGTCTGTGAGAAACCCCCTAAGGAGTTTCCCAGTAGTAACAGCCTACCTTGTTTTTTTATTTATCTGCATTTATTGATCCAGTGTTGGGCTTTGTCTCATTGTCTATAAAATCCAAAAGATTGAGACCTTTTATTTTTGTTATTTCCAAAAGAAACACTATTTGTATGAATGCCCTGTCCACAATCCTTCTCAGATGGCACATTCTACCACAATAAAAACATTTGATATTTTGATGACTTTTCATACCTTTGGAAATTGCTTCTCCTACCCAAGCCTCAGTCAAGCCTCAGCCTTATAGTCAAATGACTCAACATTGACTGGGTGCAGGATCCATTCATCCATTGGTGCTGTTCTGACCTTTCATGGTCCAAGTATCATTTTGCATTTTAAGTTGGCATTTTAAAAATCCAGAGATTCAGTAAGCACTTGTCTAGCTTCTGGATCTGATACCCCTATTTGTACAGCTTAGTTAATCTTTGTAAAGAGTCACTAAAGGATTATCTTGAGCCTTGCATGACCTCATATGTTTTAATTCTTATTCCTAGTTCTTGAATCTTGTCCCAAGCATTCAAGGCTGCAAGAACAAGAACACTGTAAGGCACATGAACAAGATGTGTTTATTGTATATAGCTTGACTATCTGAATCAGTGTAACAGCCCTCACCAAGAATTTCATCTTGAGAGGCGTCAATTCCTCTGGCTCTACCTTGATGTTCCAGGGCTTTAGTCTCCTCTCTCCAACGGTATTTCCACTGTAACTACAGTCCATCTTCTAGCATGGCTGAGACTGATTGAAGCCAATTATTTTGAGTAACCTTATTTCATGAAGCCTATGTCATTACCAACACCCTCACATATGGTGAATATGTGCCATAAGGTACTACTGCTTGCTTAATATCTTTTAGATTTTTCATATATATATATGATTCTGATTTACATTCTGTATATACTTTTGGGTATTGAGAATCTGCTGGCTTTTCAGAGGTAGTAACAGAATAAGTAGCTAAAACTCTTGGTAGTCATCTCTGACTCTGAGAGCTACTGCTGATGCTAAATCTTTACTATTGTCCTTTGCCTGTACCTCCTCTCCTTGCTTATCAGTTCTGACAAGGTCCTTGATTGATTCAAATCTTTTTATCACTGTCTTTTATCTTGGCATATTCAGTCAGTACAATAAATAACCAGACCAGCTCAAGAACAACAGTTATATTTTAATAATTGAAAAAAAGGAGGAACTCACGCTACAAGAGTGGGGGTCCAAAATCAAATTTGGTCTGGCGAGCACCGCATAGAGAGAGAGAGTGTGCATCTACATCCCAAGGTTTTTCTACCTGGACTATAGGTGGCCACAACCCAACTGAATGTGATTGGTCAAAACTATCAGTTGATAGTTTCCCCATCATCTCCCCTTGTCTAAACAAGAACGATCCAAACACAATACAACTATATACAACAGGAACAGATACCAAATATATAATTACAAACAATAAACAATATTAAACAAGGAACACATGACAAAAGTTTTACTAAACATTCTATTTCAAGGAGTCTATATAATGTATTGAAATTAAGTTTGGCTAAATCATGAGGAAGATAACTACAATTATCTAATCTTCAACTCCATCAAAGATCTGAGAAGGGAAGCAATATTACTTGAGTAAACAGGAAGTGCAATCGAGAAACTTCCAAATTGTGCAACAAATGACAGAGACAACTGACTACCTGGGCAATTACCCAAAGTCTCATTTGCAATGTTGAAGCAGCCAACTTTGGCTAAGGCCTAGCATAACTGACATACCATTTTCAAAGGCAAGAAACTTTGCAAAACTATCATACCCTGTTTTGGCAGGATATGACAGTCCTGTTTTGTCCATTTACGGATACTCTGTATCTCTGTCAGTGGTTGAGGTATGGGCATTTCTTTGCCCAAAGGCCAGTTCTGCCAAGAAGAAAGGCTCCAGGTGGAGTGTCTTTGGCTTTGGTGCTCAATATTCTCTCAGGAGTAGATCAGTGTTGCCAGGAGTGATTGTCTCTCACTACCACAGAACTCTAGGTTAGATTAAAGGCCATTTTCTACAGCTCTTTGAAGAGGTTGAAGATTATACTATCTATACTGAATATAATCTCTATGTATCGAAAGAACCTGATTAGCCTAAATATAAATATGACAAACATAGATGACTATTGATCTATAATTCTCAATACCTATCTAACTTAAAGACTAAGACAATAAACAACTGTGCAATAAATAAGAACAATGACCTTCAAATGCAAGCAATGTATAAGTATCTTGATCAGAGGTAGTAGTGTACACTGTAATATGGTAAATATGTATGTCAATACATAAACAATGTTTCAAACAGAGGTAGAAGCATACACACATACAATATTCAATATAACTTAACTTTGTATCAATATACAAGAATTGATACCAATATAATTGTCTAAAAACAATAACTCACAAATACCAATCTATTATCCCATCATCCAATTATCCCTCTTTTTCTTTCAAGAAGATCCCTGAACCTATAAAATTCCTCCCCCATCCCTCAAGCATATACCAATTATAACCAGCCCCTAAATCATGTCCCTAAACCTGAGGGCAAACTCTGCTGGGAGAGGGAACGTCATCCTCTAAAATTGCTTCCAGCTCTCATGGGGGCAACGTTCTTTCTAGGGGATCCTGTGAAAGTAAACAATGGTTAAATTCCAAGATTACTATTTTGTCTGGTAAAATTGTAAATAGCCTCTGAGTATTTTTTGTGGAGGTCTGGCAAGAATGTTGTAAAAGATGTGCACCATTTCAGCTAACCAAGTCAGAACCGTATCTTGCAGCTGCTACTCAAAACAGGTCTTGGAGTAGTGCTATCAGCATCATGATGTCATATAAACCAGGTGGAGTTGTTGTTGTGGGGCCCCATCTTCTTCCTGGAAACTTCAAAGATTACTGCAGGGAAATTTATTGTTCACTATGGAAAACTTAAGCATGATCTATATAGACATATGCAGACATACATATTCAATGAAAGGTATGATAAAGACAAAAACAGATATATTTCTAATGACTTCCTCAAATCAATTAATTTCTGGTTCTCATTCTACACATGTTATTCCAAGGTTTTAACTTATTCACTTATTATATCTTCTTATCCATGTATATTATCTGGATAGCATGTAGACTGCCTTCCTGGTGGGATGTTCTGTCTCCTGGCTTATCTTACCTTTTTAACAGATTTTAATGGTCAATTTCAAAAATTTGAAACTTTTCTGATAGCTTCTCATTACGAGTCTATAAAGACTGTATCATTTCTAAAAGTCTCTCATTCCTCACTCTGTTATAAAACCATTTCTCTAAGGATATAGTATGAATAATAAAACTAATAGCTACCATGGCCACAAAAATATATGTATCAGGTCATACAGCTCTTGTAGCAATCCAGTAATAGCAGAAACAAAAATATTATTATATTCCTTGGTGGGAATATTGTCTCCAATTATCTTGGGATTGGTTTACAATCTTCAAATTTATTTATTTATTTACTTACTTACTTACCTATCAATCTGATACTTAGGTATCAAATTAACTTATCTCCCTTATAATTTTCAGAAAACTGTTGTAGGTGTAATACTGCGGATTGTCCAGCAGGTGTCAGAGTTGTGGCAGTAAGGCAGGTCTAGATCAGGGACCTATGAGACTCAGCAAAAATTTTTAAAAGCGGCACACCTTCATATGGAGACAATTGAGTCAAAGGACTCAGAGCTTGCAGGCAATTGCCAGCTGTGAAGTTACGGGTGGATTTAGGGCCTGTGCTTTTCATGGATCCCTTCTGGGAAAGCAAGCCTGTGTTCTAGGTGCAGGGATAGAGCTCAGCCTGATCAGAGCAGGCCAGACAGCAGATGGACCTCAGAAGCAGATTTTAGCTTGGGTAGCAACAATAAACCACAGGGGTAAGAGAAGCCACGGAGGTGTTGCAGCAGGAATCTGCAGGCATCAGTTACTCAGCCACTTAGCTGGCAGGACTGAGCTAGCCACACAGGGGTAGGAGGGCTAGGAATTACCAAGTCCCTACTGTGGATCAGCCAACCCAATCCTTGCTCAACTGAGCCAGCTCGATAATTCAGCTGCAGAGGATTAGTTCAGCTCCATGGGGTGGGAGGAGGCCCTAGCGGGTCTGAGCAGGGACAGAAAATGTCGTGGATTCAGGCCACATTGTCGCCAAACTGTAGTAGTACCAAAGAGTTCCACAATAGCCCAGAAAGGAGTATTAACAAAGGTTTATTTATTTGGTGATAAACTCACAGTAAGGGTAGTGATCCACAGTCCTCTGTGAGCACTGGGAACTGGAACCGAATCCAGCAGAAGAAAGGGTCACATATGCTTTCATGCAGTTAAAGTGCATGGACCACGCCCAGAGTGGGCCAGTATCTTAAAGTCTATTGGCTGAAGGAGTTCCCACAACACAGAAGCTGCTGGGACCAACAAGTCTGAGAGCTGGGATTCTGGCAACGAGGCTCCAGCCACTATGCAGTTCAGAGGTTGGGAACAGAGCAGGTTGTTAGCTATAAGAATCTAATCAGTCATTACAGAAATATCTTTGTGTATAACTAATTCATGGGAAAACCCAGTGCATTTTAGATGCAGAAACAAGATACCAAAGTGGGTGGAGAAAAAGCCATGCACAGTTCTAGAATAAAGTGAAATGTGTCTGCGCAGGTCCAACACATCCCATATTGAACAGTGAGGATTTTAGACGTCCTGAGCTTCCGGTGACCTGTGGTAATGCTCGGGGGACTCTGTATGTGGAGAAATTTGCGCAAGGTGAGTTTCAGATCTGTGCTCTTCATCTAGACAATAGCACTTTGTAGGGGGTGGGCATCTGTGTTGGGGGTGTATCATCCCAAAGTCAGTTTGTGGAACTCGGGATATTGGCAATGTCACACCCGTTACTGAAGTGAGTGAGGGTTTGAGGTCAAGTTACAAATGAGAAGAGGGCGTGAGAGGCCAAGTCCAGAGAAGCCAGAAACTCTTGACATTGCTCTCCTTTTGGGGAAACACGGGGTGCAAACAACCACCCCAGCAATGAAAGTGTGAAAGGCTTTCTTCCAAGGAGCTGCCCGAACCCAGGGCCAGGGTTATGAGTTATGCAGAAACCTACCTGCATAGCGCACCCCAAATGCAGATACCTACAAGTATAGCAGGTCTCAAGTGTGAAGTGAACTCTTTGTAAATGGTTGGGGCATGGAGAATCATTCTCTGATTCTGTGAGTGACAGAAGCGCTCTACAAAGCCTCATTCACAAACTGCACCCAAAATTCCACTGTGCCAGGCAGCATTTCTCAGGAGAGTCGCAGGCTGCTGTGGTCATTCTTTTCTGCAGCAAACCCCAGAGAGGAGAAGGAATGGGGACATTTTTCATATTTTTTCTTTTTTTCTCCTTCTTGTAGTACTGAGATTAAACTCAGGGCCTTGTACATGTGAGGCAGACGCTCTCTCATTGAGCTGTACCCTAAGGTGCAATTTTGCAAGTTTAAATGTCATACGTCCCTGGCCTATCAGGCTACCTCCCCTTCCCCCTGTGAAAAAGGCCAATAAGAAACCTGTTTAGCATCTCAGACCAGAGTAAGCCCTAACACACCAGGATGGGAAGTATATGTGTCTGAGAAAGTCAGCATCAACCTTAGTGGGTCAGTTAGCTGTAACCTCTGTCTAACTTTAAGCTGAGTAAGAAAACACAGAGGATTTGGATTGGAATTTGAATACACTCTAACCTCAGCTCTCTTGGTTTATTAGTACAGGGTTCTTTGCTCTACTGAAATATTCAGTCAGACTGCTCTATTTAACTTACAGATTTAGAGGCTAAAAGGCCAAGATCAGGCAGCCTCATATGTTGGCCTTTGGAGAGAGACTGAGGGCAAGTGGCATTATGGCAGGGGTATGACATGTAGGAGGAAGAGATCCCACCATAAGACAGGAAGCCAGACAGTGGCTGAGGTCCCATGAGAATTGTCTTAATCCCTCCAAAAGGCAGCACCCTCCATGATCTAGTGCAACCTCACATAACACCTTGTCATGGAGCAGGATTTCAATATATGACCCCTGGGGGGGGGGGGGACTTTCAAACCATAGCTCAACCTCAAGTCAAGTTTCTCTGTCGTCTACATCAGGCTCCCTAATACTAAACCTCCTCTACTTTGAAATGAGAATAAAACTTCTCTCACCATATTGTTATGATAAAAAAGATAATGGAAATGAAATGTTGTGGAAACTGTGATTGTTAGGGTACAGTGCCACTGGTCCTCTATCATGGTTGATCTTCCTTTCCACAGCACAGTTCTTTAAGATTTACTTTTATTTTCTGGCTATGAGTGTTGGGCTGCATGTGTCTGTGCACTGAGAGTGCCTGGTGGCCATGGAGACCAGAATATGACATCAGATCTGGAGTCATGGATGTGATCCCCATGTGGGTTCTGAGAACTGAACCTGGGTCTTCTACAAGAACAGTAGTGCCCTTCACCACTGAACCGTTTCCCTAGCACCAAGTAGTTCTTTGTTAGCAACAAATAAGTGTTTTCCCCGTGATTCTACTGCCTAAATGCAATTTAGATGTTCCATGTAGACAACATTTCCTAAATCACTTTTAACATCAACTAGTCATGAGTCTAAAATATGAGGAATAACCATCTGTCGTGTCCTAGAATATAATGTTATAGAAGTAGCTGTGGTGACAGCTTCCTCATGGCTGGATTCACAAGAGTCCAGCATGGAATTTTCTGCTCTCACTCACCTTTCTGAAATACAAGTTGGACCTACACTGGGTCACAGTAAAAGAAAGAGTAAGAATCCTGGTCATGTTTTGAAGTGATTCCTTTTGACAATCTTTTAACATTACAGTAGAATGCTTTTAAAGGTAATCTCAAAGGGTGGAGAGAGCACTTTGTAGTTAAGCACACTGACTGTTCTTCCAGAGGACCCAGGTTCAATACCCAGCAACCACACTTGGCTCACAACCATCTATCTATTACTACAGTTCCAGAAGATTCAATGCGATTTTCTGGCTTCTGTGGGCAATAAGAACAAATGGTGTACCCAGACACCCTTACAGACAAAACACAAATACACATAAAATAGATGGATTCTTTTTAGGAAAAGCATAAAAGATAACATCAGTGGTAGTCATTCTCTGTCCTTGCCTATCAGGATGGGTGTGTGGCCCCTGATGACTGAGAAGGAAATGTACATCCTCCTAAGACTAAACCTCAGCCCCAGATCCAGGATATAATGGGCCAAGTGCATGTGTTTTCATAGCTGGCTGCTCAGTTGGTCTTGGTCTTACAGGCATCTATGAGAAGAGTATACTGACTGAGAACGGAGAGTGGCTAACTCTCAGGGAGTTTGAAATCAGAGGAAACCGTGAAAGATCCAGGAGCTGGAGGCAAAGCATATATTGTCAAGGATGGAACCTGGGATGTTTAATAAAGGTATTCTGGTGGTAGATAGCTTCCATGGCTCCTGGGTAAGATGGTGAATTAAAAGCTTCTATGTGACAGACAGCTTCAATTATTCTGGGGTGAGACAACAGGTTAGAAGCTCTTTTGATATGACTGGTAACTTCAATCAAGGTATAATTCACCTGTCCAGATGTTAGCAGAATGACTGCGTAAACAATACCATAATGATTTTTCTTAGACAGGTTCCATGGCATGGGTTGTTGCCAACTTGCCAGACATGGGTGTTACCTCAGCTGTCTTGTGTTATAGCTTAATCCTCTTTAATGTATTAACTACCATTGTTTGGATGGTAGGAGAAAACCCTGTAACCTTTACCATTAACTAGTTGCAGAAAATATGGTCGCAAGGACATAATTAAACTTAAATTTAAATATAATTGAAATTAAATTTAAATATAATTGAGTGCCAATGATGAAAACAATATAAGATTGCATAGCTGAAAATAATGCACCCATGTGGATGCCTGCTTTACAGTTACAGAATGTTCCAGCAGTTCTTCTTCCAGGTCGTCTCATGTTTGTTCTTAAACAGCTGAGTATTATGGGTCAGACCTGTAATGCCAGCACTTGGGATAATTAGGCAGGAAGAATGCTCAGAGATCAAGGTTGGCTTACACTCTGTAGTGAGTTCCAGGACAGGTTACAGAGTAAGGCCTGCCTCAACTCCGTCTACCCAAAAATAAAAGTAAAAGAAGGGATATAATTTTGAAATAAATGCTTGGCCGGGTGGTGGTGGCACACCCATTTAATCCCAGCACTTGGGAGGCAGAGGCAGGCGGATTCTGGGAGTTCGAGGCCAGAGCCTGGTCTACAAGAGCTAGTTCAGGAACGGGCACCAAAGCTACAGAGAAATCCTGTCTCGAAAATCCAAAAAAAAAAAAAAAAGAAAGAAAGAGAAAAAAAGAAATAAGTTCTTTGTTCTTCATTTTTATCAACGCTGTAAATTGGGAAAACCAGGAGATTTCCTTGATAGCTTGACCAATTTCCTTGGATGTAGGGTACACAGATGTTTCTGGCACATATCTCAGATGGCCTATCCCTGTGTCATCCTCACAATAAAGCACAAAAGTTTACTCATCAAGTATTGGCTGAGCTGCATCTGAAGCCATGGGGAGTACAGGTGTGAGCCCCTGACCAGGGCAAGGCAGTGACTGGTTACCCTACCTGCAGTTACTGCTGTTGGGGAGAGGAGTCTGCAGGAAATGATGCTGAAGCCAAAGGGTGGGATGGCTATTTCGAGGTTTAGGACAAAAACTGTATCATGGATCAGCCTTCCCTGTGCTGGGTCATAGAGGAGGACAGTTCTGGACAAGTGTAGAATTTAGCTTTCTATGCAGGGAAAGAAGAGTGTGAGAAACCAGCCCTCAGTGTGTCTAAAATCTGTGGGCGATCAAGTGGCATCGCTTATCTGAGCTCGCTGTGAAAATCACCAGGACAGGAAAACTGGATCCAAATGTTTCCTTGACTCACTGTGGGGCACATGAGAAGTAATTTCCATGAATACAGCTTGTATTTAACAAGGTTTCATACAGACAGAAATATCCAGAAGACGGTGAGAAATACCTCACTCACAAACTAAAAGCAAAGACCCTCCCATCATTAACTCTCTGTCTTTCAGGGAGGACTTCTACCAGACTCACCTAGGACAAGGGGACAGGTAATTATCCCAAGATCTCCTGTTCTGATGTCTCAAACTATTGTCTACAAATTGTTTGTTTTCCATCTCTGTGACCTTGTAAGCTTCAGATTTGACCAATTTATATTTGATTTACTCTGTGGTGTTTATATACTTGTGATTTCACAAGCATAAGAGGCCAGGGCTGCTTTGAGCTTCAAAATACTTGAGATAGAGATGGGAACAAACCTTGGGAACCATCAAATAAATGATGTATTCTGCTTTCAGAGGGAAAACCGAACAAGCCCAGAGTGAACAAAGAAAAACGTAACTGCCCCATGATCATCTGCCATGATGTCAGAGGCCATTAACAACAAATTATTAGTTGTTCATCTCTGCCATGTTATAGTTCTTAAATTCACTGATGAAAATAAAAATAGATTTTAAAATATGGTATTGTTGTGGTTGATAATTTAAAATATTGCACAATATTACAAGCCAGTTCTCCAATTAACGTTTGAGACTGAGATGGGAACACCTCTTAAAAATAGTAAAGCAATGGACTAACAATGTGGCTCAGGAACTAACTGTACTTGCTGCCAAACCTGATGACCGGAGTCCAATCACCAATAACCATATGATGGAAGAAGAAAACATGTTCCAAAATTTTTCCTTTGCTCTCTACCTGAGTGTCACATGAGTGTCTATACACATGCATAAATAAATGTAATTTTTAAAAATCTAAGGGCTGGAAAGATGGCTCTTCCAAAAGACCCTGGCTTATTACCAGCATTCACATTGTAGCTCCCATCCATCTGTAACTCCAGTTCTAGGACTTCCCATGCCTTCTTCTGACCCTGAAGGCACCAGATTTAGATACAACCACACTTCTTTTGTTCCTCTGCTGTAGATAAGACATTGAGTTCTCATCTCTGGACTCTGGATAGCTCATTGGATGACTGAGGCAGATGCTGAGGTTTCTGGTCCATGGACCACTGCTTAGGAGGCAGAGATCTCACAAGATGACTGTCCATTAGAACCTCTCACAATGTTTAAGCATTTAACCCTTGGATCCAGTCCAGACTTAGTGAATTGAAATTAATGTTATTGGGGTCCTAGTTATTTGTTATGTTTTCTCCACCAGTGTTAAGGATCAAAACTAGGACCTCATTTATGCTAGGTTGAACATTCTACCATTGAATTACACTCTAACGCCTGGAATTATGTATAATTCCATGAGTAATTTTAATCTAAACATGTTGATGATTACTGCTAAATAAGAGAACAAATTTCTTGTTTAAAACAATTGGGTAGTTTCAAAGCCTGCCATGCCGGGAGACAGCATCAATACCCACCATGGTCCATGGTGACAACAGAGGCTTCCAGAAGCTATGCAATGACCAGAGCCTTAGCTTCAGGCCCAATTACACCAAAAGCAGCAATCAGCAGAGACAGGATACCATGTGCACTTGGCAGAGTGACCACCAGAACCATGGCACCAGTTGCATCAAGAGGAGATACCATCTGAACCTTGGGCCCATCTGAATCTGGAGGAGTGATCACTAGAGTATCAGCCCTGCCAGTACCTTAATGAGTATTCAAGGGAGCCACAGCCCCAACATAACCAACTGAAGCACCGACTCCACACATACTGATTAGATAATGAAATGGTTAGACAACAAGGGGAAAATACACTAAACAACAGAAAGAGCTATACAGCATCACTAGAAACTGGTGGTTCTACAGTAAGAAAATTACAACATCCCAACTCAGATGCAGTAGAAGAAAATGACACTAAAAATAACTTTATGGAGATGATTGAGGTACTGAAAGAGGGAATGAAAAAGTCCCTTACAGAAATGGAAGAAAAGATGAACTAAAAATTGGAAGAGATTAATAAATCCCTTAAAGTAAAACCCCCAAAAAGCAGTCAAACAGGTGAAAGCAACAGTCCAAGACATAAAAATTGAAAAAAAAGGCAATAAAGAAAATCCAAACCAAGAGAACTCTGGAAATGAAAAATCTGGGTAAATGATAAGGAACTACAGATGCAATCATAAACAACAGAATACAAGAGTTGGAAGAGAGAATGTCAGGAGTTGAAGATATCATAGAGCAAATAGATTCATTGGTAAAAAAAAAATGTAAGTTCCAACTAATTCTTAACACAAAACATCCATGACATCTGTGACACCATGAAAAGACCAAACTTTAGGATAATAGGGAAGAGGAAAAATAAGTCCAGTTCAAGAACACAGGAAATAAATTCATCAAAATCATAGAAGAAAATTTTCTCAACCTAAAGAAGTACTTACCTATAAAAATATAAGAAGCATACAGAACACCAAATAGACTGGACCCAAAAGAAGTTTCCTGAACACATAAAATTAAGACTCTAAACATACAGAATAAAGTAAGACTATTAATAGCTGCAAAAAAAAAAGGCCAAGTAACATATAAATGCAGACCTATCAAAATTTAGCCCAACTTCTCAATGGAAACAATGAGCAGAAGGTCATGGTCAGGTGTTATGCAGGCACTAAGAGACCACAGATGCCAACCAAGACTAACATATCCAGCAAAGCTTTCAATAACCATTGAAAGAGAAAACACGATATTCCATGACAAAACCAGATTTAAGCAATGCCTATTCTCAAATCCAGCCCTATAGAAAGTACTAGAAGAAAAACTCCAACCCAAGGAAGTTAGATACATCAACAAAAACACAGGCAATAGATAACCCCACATGACATATCCCTAAGATGAGAAAAACACACACACACAAACACACACACACACACACACACAATACCACCAACAATAACAAAAACAAAAATAAAAGGAACTAGAAATCACAAGACATTATTATCCCTTAATATCAATGGACTCAATTTGCCCACATAAATACATCAGCTGAGAGATTGGATATGAAAACAGAATCCATCTTTTTGCTGCATACGAAAAGCACACCTCAACTTCAAAGACAAACATTAACTCAGAGTAAAGGATTGGGAAAAGATTTTCCAATCAAATAGTCTGGAAAAAAATCTGGTGTAGTTATTCTAATATTTAACAAAATAGACTTCAAACTAAAAGTAATCAAAAGAGATGAAGAAGGTCATTTCATATACATCAAAGAAAAATCAACATTCTCTCGGGAGTAGATTGGTGTTCCAGGAGTGATTGCCTCTCACTACCACAGAACTCTAGGTTAGATTAAAGGCCATTTTCTACAGCTCTTTGAAGAGGTTGAAGATTATACTATCTATACTGAATATAATCTCTATGTATCTAAAGAACCTGATTAGCCTAAATATAAATATCACAAACATAGATGACTATTGATCTGTAATTCTCAATACCTATTTAACTTAAAGACTAAGGAAATAAACAACTGTGCAATAAATAAGAACAATGACCTTCAAATGTAAACAATGTATAAGTATCTTGATCAGAGGTAGTAGTGTACACTGCAATATGGTAAATATATATGTCAATACATAAACAATGTTTTGAACAGAGGTAGAAGGATAAACACATACAATATTCAATATAATTTAACTTTGTATCAATATACAAAATCGATACCAATATAATTGTCTAAAAACAATAACTCACAAATACCAATCTATTATCCCATCATCCAATTATCCCTCTTTTTTTTTCAAGAAGAACCCGGAGCCTATAAAATTCCTCCCCATCCCTCAACCATTATACTAATTATAACAATATAATTGGCCCTGTGCATCCTTGCTGTGCCCCTTTGCAATCCACTAATCCACTGGCTTCCCCTTTCTCCCTCTCCTGTCACCACATTGCAGGAAAGAAGGAAGGGACAGTATTTCAGAGCAGCACATTTAAGATTAGAGAAATACTTTCAATTCTCTTTTCACCATCTGGGTGGAGCCCTCCCTAGTGAGTTAGTACTCAGGTTGACTTCCTGCTCTCAATTGTGGGTCACAGTTCAGGGTCTAAAAACCTGTGAGGAGACCAAGGATCAGAGCTCATCCTCACATGATCCTGGCAGGAATTGAGAGACAGAAGGTGGCAGCTTCAGCAACAGGTGAGTCTTTCTCCCTCTGTAACTTTGCCCTCTGACAGCTGGGGTGATTCTGAGTCTTGATTAAGTGGCTAAAGCTTCAGTCAGTCCAAAGCCCTGGACGTGAAGCAGTTCTGCACTGTAGTTAGAGAGGAGAGACAAGAGAGAGGAAGAGGGGAGAAAGAGATGGAGACGGAGAGACAGTCAGAGAATGACAGAGATATACAGAGAGACAGAATCAGAGACAGACAGACAGAGACAGAGAGAGAAAACACTCTGAGCTTTTAAAACTGAGTAAGATATCTGCTGACGAGGCCAGCTTGCCATCACCCACAGTCATAACGTTCTTGTGTGCAACACTGTCAGCTGTCAGGAGACTCTGGTCACACCTGTCAGGGACTCTTGGCGACCTCTGTGACATGGCTCTGCTGTTATCTCATGAAATCTGAGTGTTCTCAGTCCCTCTGCCTCTCTCTGCTTTCACTAAGTCACCTCAGGGAGAAAATTCAAACATTAGAGTCTCATGGTCAGCAACTGGGTCCCTCTGTCGTGGTCTCCTACCTGTCTGGCAGGACTTGTCACCTAGGAAGATGTCCCAGTCTCACTCCTGGTCTGAGCTCTCACTGTCAGATTTGAATCAAGAAGGAAAAAAAATGGGCCCTTGCTAGCTGCAGCCATGGCAAGCTGCACGTTTTTATTTTCATGTCAGCGTCCTGTCCTAGGAGGGTGACTCCTCTGACAAGGAAATGGTCGACCTCTGTCTGCTCCACAGTGGTGATCAGATGTTCTCCTCAGAAACAGTGCCTGTCAGGGTGTTTGCTACTGAACAGGAAGTAATAAATTTCCATTACTGTCATTGAACCTAGGGCCTTGAGTAGGCATGACCATATATTTCTACCTATTTTAAAGACTTTAGAATTGAGGTTTTGCTGTGTCTCTCAGGATGGCTTTGAACTCATTCTACAGCCCACTCTGGCCTTGAACTTGTGATCCTCTCTGCTGTTTGGGTCTTTTCAGTGACTGGGGTTTCAGGACTGCACCAACAGGCCTGTTTTATAATCGAATGTGGTTTATAAACTTTCAAACTTTGTGGAAGTATAGAAAGGATAAAACCATTTTAACTGTCATCCATACACACTCCCCACAGTTCCTAGGCTTGGGTTCAGCCATATTAGAAATATTAGGCATATTAGACAGCTTCTCTTTGTCTTTTTATTGTGCCATGTAGGCTGTTGTGAAACTTGTTATGTAGCCCAGGCTGGCCTGAGACTCCCAACAGAGATGCACCTGTTTCTGCCTTTTGGGACGAAAGGCGCAATCATCATGCCTGGTTCTTCTTTGTCTTATAAAACATACATACTCTGTGCGTCTGTATGTGTGCGTGCAAGCATGTGTGCGTGCATGTGGGAGAGAGAAGCAGAGTGACAGAGAGACAGACAGACAGACAGACACACACACACAAAGAGAGAGAGAGAGAGAGAGAGAGAGAACGAGAGAGAGAGAGAGAGAGAGAGAGAGAGAGAGAGAGAGAGAGATTGAGAGAGCCATTAGGTCAGGTGCTTTGGAGGCCAGCAGAGGGTATCAGATCACTGTACTTGTAGTACAGATGGTTCTGAGCTGCCAGACATGGGTGCTGGGAACTGAGCTCCCACCCTTGGGATGAGCAGCCAGCATTCTTAAGTGCTGACCTCTCCAGACTCTTTATCTTTTCCTTTGCTTTTCTTGTGTAACTTATTTTCATAACTATTTAATGAGTATTTTCATTTTGTACTATTGTTCTGTATTCAGAGCTTTAGGTTATTTAAAAAGTAGAAACCTTATCGTAGTCCTCACCTTAACGTTTGCACATTTACTTCGTTCTTCTTCTTACCAGCTGCCTGCTATTCAGAGTGCTTGTATATGGAGGACGAGATTCATAATATCAGTTATGATTATTTATGTATGCATGTGTCTTGGTGACAGGGACAATGTAGAGGAGTTGGTTCTGTTCTTCTTTCTTGTGATTTCTGGGGTACAACCGAAGTCATCTGCCTTGGTTGCTAACTCCTTCATTAACTGAGCCACCTTGCCAGTCCTCACCGTGAGTTTTACACCAGTCTGCTTTGATGGACATTAAGGTCACTACCACAGTTCACTGTCACCAGCATGCTGTAAGGACAGTGGCCATGTGATTCATTTTCCTTACTTTCATGATACTTCATTGTGTCTAAAACAAACAAGAGTGGAGTTCCTGAGACAAAGGGCAGCAGTGACCACTTGCTTGTAGATGCTGCCACAGGGCCTGTGAGGAGGCAGCATCAATGCTCTTCCTGCCAATAGCAGATGAGATGAGGAGTCTCCCCTCTCTCTGCCCGAGACTGCAGAGGTGACGGAGATGTGTGTTCATTTGCATTCTATGTATTAAGTTGTGTATTAGTTAGGATCTTTTATTGCTATGAAGAGACTCCATGAAATAGGCAACTTTTCTAAAGAAAACCCTTCCATTGGGGTGGCTCGCTTACACGTTCAGGGCTTCAGTACATTGTCATCAGGATGGGGACCGGGGCAGCATGTAGGAAGATGTGGTGCTTGAACTGAGAGTCCTACATTTTGACTCGAAGGCAACAGGAAGTCAGTTGATTGTCACACTGAGCGAAGCTAGAGAAAAAAGAACCTCAAAGTCTGCCTCCACAGTGACACACTTCTTCCAACAAATCCACACCTACTAAAGTGCCAGTTCCTTTAGGGGCCTTTTTTTTTTTTCCAAAAACTCCACGAGTATGAAATTGGTTGCTTTTTCTGTGCACTGGCTGGGAAATTTCCTCCCCTAGGACTGGTTTAGTTTTCATGAACATTAATCAGATCTTATTCCTTCTTCTGTGCATATGTTATATATCCTGGGGAACTGTGGGTATGACCCACCTGTGTGACTACATCGCATTTTGTGTTTGGTGATTTCTGTTTCTACAAAGTTAAAATTGAAATTTAGTATCAGTCATGTAAGAAAGAAGCATCCACAAATAAATTGATACCGAAGGGCACTGACAAAATCAAGCATTTTTGTGGTTTTGTGTCTCTGATTTCAGAACCTGGGTTGGAATCTAGAGTTTCTGTTTACCAGGCAAGTTCTCTACCACTGAACTACATCCACAGCCCTCTTTTTACTTTTTAATTTTGAGAGAAAGGATCAATCAGTTGCCCAGACTGATCTTAAAACTGTAATTCTTCTGCTGCAGCTTTCTGAGTACCTTTGCCTACAGGCCTGCACCATCAGGCCTGACGTGAGTGTTTGTTTCATTTCTTTGACCACAGTTCTATGGTCTTTGTGTAATAGATCTTAGTCTATCTTTATTCAGAGAAAGTTTCTATTCTTCTTGTTTCCATTTTAGGCACTGGAACCTCATTAGGCACCCCAGTTCTCACTGCTCCTGCTGCTTTCCTTTTTCTGATTTTTAGCTTTCCATTCATAAGGGCTGTCTCCAACTCTTCCTACATGACAAGGACTTAAATTTTTAGTGAAGTTTGTTTTTTGGTATTTCTAAGTTTAAAAGTCGTGTGTGTGTGTGTGTGTGTGTGTGTGTGTGTGTGTGTGTGTGTCATGGCACATGTGCATAGATCAGAGAATAACACTGGGTGTTGGTCCTCATCTCCCATCCCGTGTGAGGCAGGTTCTCTCCTTTGCCTCTGTGCCCACTATGCTGGTTGCATGGTGAAGCTTGCAGGGCTTCTCCTGTCCCCATCTCCTATTGAGCTACAGACATTGTTGGAACTGCAGACATGCCTGTGGTATCTGACTTTTTGTGAGTTATGGGAATTTGAACTCACATCTTTATATTGGTGGGTCAATCCACGGAGTCAGCTTTCTAATCCTGATTTAGTTTTTAAAATTATTAATTCATGTGTATGGATGATTTGCCTGCATGTATGTCTGTGCAACACACCAGGCCTGGTATAGTATGGTTAGGCTCCCAGGAGTTACAGACACTTGTGAGTCAACATGTGAGCACTGGGAACTGAACCTGGGTCCTCTGGAAAAGCAGCCAGTGCTCTTAACCACTGAGCCATCTCTCTATCCCCTAATTTCTAGGTTTTAAAGAAACAGATTGTGTGAGGGGTAAAATGGATCTTACGGGGGGTCTTAGGTTGTCAACAAGATTGTGTAAGCTCTTCTGTAGGCTGCGTTTGTTAACTTCCTGCCCATCTTCTCCCCAGTTTATATCAGTTTTGAGGTGCTTTGAGGACAATTTCCTAATGTCTTCTGATCATTCTTCCAAGTGAGGTTCTTCCAGTTTGCTGTCCTTTCTTCACTGTCTGCTTGCTGTGGTTTACAGCCCATCTCACTGATGGTTGGACCTGGGCCGTTCACAGCACTTTTAGCTTTCCACAAGATGTAATCCAGGATCTAAACATGTTCTTCTAATGTCCGTGCCAAATTTTTTTCAACAATGAGCGGAAATAGAGATTGCTCGAATCTGCCCTCAGTACAGTTCTGGTGGCCATCGATTGTCTGAAGCCCATTTTCACAGTTTATGGCCTGTGTCCTGGAAGTAACCTATGAGGGCTGTTTTTTTCCTCCTTAAGATTTTTTTTCTTACTTCTTTATTGTAATCTGTCTTTATTTTTATAGTTGATTTTTTACTGATCCTATTTAAATTTTTCTGGGTTTTTAAGTTGACATCATTTATCCATTTGAGAACTCCCCAGTCACTATTTCTCCATGTATTACTTTCATATTCTCTCCATTTCTGTATCTTTCCTCCCTTCCCCTTTCCTCCCTCTTTTCTTCATCCCATTATCTTACAGAGTATTGGGATTCTTTTCTTTTGAAAAATGTTTTATTATTTATACTTCATGTGTATGAGTGTTTTACCTGTATGTATGTAAATGCACCCCATGTGTGCTTGGTGTCCACATATGGCACAAGAGGGTGTTAGATCCCTTAACACTTTAGTTATGAATGACTGTGAGCCATGTGGATGCTGGGGATTGAACTCAGATCCTCTGACCACTGAGCTATAACTCCATCCCAGAGAGGAACAGGTTTC